TTTTAGCACAATAGAACTTTTCTAAACCTTCAGCAACTATCAGATGATGAAATTTTTCATAGATTCAGTCTTTCATTCATATAGAGAAAGCACTGAAAGCAGTGATTCTTTATGGAAATGTAACATGAATAGCTGACGTTTTACTTACAGCAAACACATTGCAAATAATTTTTGTATATATTTACTGTGCAATTATATTGGAGTTCAATTATTTTAGTATTCTTAATAAAAGTTCAAAATATGTGCCCGTGATAGTACGGAAGTAGTAAGTAGTTCAATTACTGGAATCACTGCAGAAAACTTATTACTACAATAAGTTTTTGTACATTTGAAGGATTGCCTTCTGAGGGGAAACACTTCCCTCATTTATTCTGGTTAAAAAGGCACCAAGCAATGCTGGGTCCCTACTGACTGTGTGTGAGAATGGGGAGTGCTGCTTTATACTGAGTCAACAGAAAGAGCATTTACTCTTGAGGTTCATAGAGACATGGTGCTTTATGGCCTGCTCAGGTCTCTGGACTCCCTATCAACCTTAAATAATTTCACTGGCTCCCCAGCCTTTTCGGTCTAGAGACAGAATGTATATTTTTAAATTATCTGTGGACTTTTCCTCTCCTGCACTTTGTCCCTTAACAAAATATTCTCAACTCCTTGCTCTCCAGCTTGGGACAGAAATTACACATAATTGGTATAAGTGATTAGAAACCAGTTCAAATCTGTAACACAACAGGAGTTTCAGTGGACATAAACTGCTTTCAAAATGGTTGAAACTGGTTTAAGATAAAGCTGGATTGATGTAGTATCAGACTTAACTGATTTAGATTAAATCGGTTTATTGAACTTCTGTCCCAGATCCCCTCCAGATTCAAATTAACTCGCACTCCCCCACTATCCCAGGTGGCACCTCCCCCACAAACCTCCCCTTGCAGGATGGGCAGGCTAGCCTTGGCCCAAGCTGTCTGCTTCAGTTGAGCAGAGAGGCATGCTCTAGCATTCCTTGGCTTCTGGTCTGAGCCACTGCAGGCATGTGGCAGCATTTCCAGAATCAAAAGTGAATGTCTGCTCCCTTGCTTATCTGTTCAATCTCTGTAGCTTAGAGTAACCTGCAAAGATTGAATTGATTCAGCCTTAGGCTTTTTGACTGTGTTTATTTAGCCTCCATTTGCCTAACACCAACCTCATTCACACTCAGCAAAACCAAAACTATAGCTTATTTAAGGATTCTAAGATGGAGTTTGAGATGTACATAAATAGGAGATGTGGTTGTTTGTGACAGCAGGGGCCTGGACTTAAAGACCCAGGAGGTCCACTCCAGTCCTATGTTTCTATGCCCAAAGAAAGGCTGGCATAGAAGGCAAGGCAGAGAATGAATTAAGTTTAAGATGCATTAGGCATAGCTGTTTGGGAGCGCCTGCACATTGTTTGCCAGTTCTGTCATTGGCTCTCCATTTTTTTTCCATATCCCATCTGCTATCATATCTTTTCTGTCTTGCCTAAGTCTCTTAATTCTCTCTCACTCTCCATTGTCTAATATGCCAATAGCAACCTATTCATTCTCATTTAATAACTGTCACTAACATATATAAACCTTGGTGCCAACAGCTCCTAAGTCTGTATTTAAATGTTGTAAATGAAAGTCAAAGCTGCTGCTTTCAGCAAGGAGATATGAGCACACAGCAACTGAAAATCAAGCTACTTTTAATTAGGAATCCAGCAGAGATTTTGAAAACTTACTGTTGGCCACCTGGTTTTGAACATTTTGTTTGGTATTCTTAACTCTGTAATGGATTTATTTATAGAAAACCCCCCCACGTATAATGAAGACACCATACAAAAAAACCCCTAGTCTTGCAGTGCACCATAGCCAGGCAGTCAGTTCTAGAATCAGGCCTCTAAAATTGTATCACGTTATGACATTCCAAACTTGCAGGGACTGGTGCCACTATACCCAAATTCTTGCTTATCTGTTTATTTCCTGTAATAGAACTAATGGAAGGAATAACAGTCCTGCCTGCAAAGTACCTTACTGTGGTCTTTCACCCATTACGCTAGTTTGTAATAGGCTATGAGAGAAGAAGAATTTAAAGAATTTATAAAGCCAGCCTCCTCCCCAAACCGTATAAAAGCCACCCGAGGAGCTATGCATGAGTCCAGGAAGAGGCAAGTGGCCACAAAGGACATCTATACATGTGCTGGCTGTCTGCTCTATTAAAGTGCTGGCAACAGAAATGAGACTTTGCCCATCAGACTGAACTCTCCCTCATCGATCTGGTGCAGCTGGATTATTTATCAGGGCAGCTATGGCTGCTGTGAAGGAAAGCAGTATCTAAAGCTATGCTACTTCCCCAGAAGAACCATATGGGCAGCTGATTGTCTGAACCTCGACAGTGATCTGCTGCTTACAGCTGGCTACACTGCACAAGCTGCAGGATGCAGTTCTTTTGCTTGGTGTCAGCGGTAGGAAACAGATAAGCAACAATTCGGGTACAGTTGGAACAGACTCGATTAGCACCCATTGGAGCAGCCTCCAGCAGCCTCCATATCACATGTATTCAGCGTCCCCATGCTTCAAAATGGTAGTGGGGGTGCTTTAACTAAACCTTGAAGCCACTGTAATTAAAGCACCGTCTACTCCCCTTCTCCACACCAGAACATGTGTAAAGATGCCCAACAGAAGAAGAAATCAGTTAAGGGATGAGGGCTACAAGTAGCGGCATAAGGTGAACTGGAGGTAGAGAAAGAAGCACAGGCCATAGAAAAAGGAAATTAAGAAGAACATTAGGGAGGGTTGAGGGGACTGGCAGACCCCTCAGTGTTTGCCTGTGGATTCTGTTTTGTTCAGCATCAATCCAATTAGGACACACTTGTGTCTTTTTCAAACATTTCCTTGCAATCATTTGGGTTAGAAGCTTACTATTTCAAATGAAATTGAGATATTTCACCTCGTTGTATGACTCAAGGTGTTGGGCTTTAAGAAGAATACTAGAGTCATGTCTAAATGTGCAATTAATGCCACTGAGTATATTTCGGCTCAATTAAAGCCAGAGTAAACTAATCCTGATGTCACTATCTACAACTGTGTTTAAGTGCAGTAATTTACTGTGCTGCCAGATGCCACTGATGGGACTATCTGGCAGTGCAGTAAATTAGTCTACTGCGCCCTAATTGCCATGCATGTATAGACAGTGAGGCAGTAAAACGTTTCATGTAGGCATACCTTAGGTGTTTCAAGACTTACAATAAAAACAGTAAATGACCTGTTATGGATTAGACAGCAGGTTTCGTATTAATTTAGCCCAACTTGCTATTAAAAATGAGTATGGTGAAAAGTGAAAAATTAATATATAATAAGCAGCTATATAATCAACTACTACATTTCTTTCCCAAGCTACACTTGAGACTATTCAAAACTCAAAAGACCTGGTGATCTCAAATGTTATTTGACATTGGTGGGAGCAACACTAAGTAGCTTCTAGCTATAAAACCATTTAAAGTATGTTGTCTCTTCCATAGTTTAAAACTCATTTGCACATATTAATTTTCATAGTATCCCATTTAACATGTAAACTACTTGTTCACAAATAAACTAGTGTGGCAAGTTTCACTTTTAAAAATCAGTAAATACAGTGAAATAGAAAATTGATGGTAATTATTTCATATTATACAGTTGCTTCTAACAGTTTATAACCTTTTGGGGATCAAGAATTCTCAAATATCACATTTCTTTTCAGTGGTTTTCTCTGTGGTAGAATCAGATGCTATGAGCATTCAAATACTTTAAAATCATGTTGCTAGATTATCAATGATGTCTAAATACAAAATGCATACTATAGTGTATGCCATGTGATTAGAAAAAGTATAACTAGAACTTGAGGCTTACAATAACTGGAACAAAGAAACATTTTTTATAACTTTCCAAAGATGTAAATGCAGTTGATCTATGTCTCCATTTCATTCTAGTAAATTGGCTTTTATTTCTAAACAGTCAACAATCCCTTCATTGACTTTGACTATTTTTCTTTCCGCACATAAGGATTTCTGGTACCACCACAAATCAGTAAATGAAAAAGTTGGCCACTAGATTGTACAATATGTCCCAGAAGAAGTAATATTATAGAACTTATATCAGTAAGTTCACCTGCCCTTATAGTACTTGATAGATTATCAGGGGCATTGATATAAGGAGTGTAGAGAGAGCAATTGCTTAGGTTACCATTTATTTGGGGCCACCAATTGGCTCTATGCACTACAGTAGAGCAGTGTCCCTCTCCTTCCCCACAGGGCACTTTCTCCACTAATAGTTTGCCCCATCATGGAGCCCTGCATATGTTGAAAGGCATGTCAACCTTTTATCCCACTTTTAGGAAAACTTATCTCCACCCTCGCAGATTAGTGCCTAATTTATTACATTAGCCAACTAAATGCATTTTAAAATACTGTCTTAACTAAGATCATTAATGAGAATTGAAATGACAACTAAAAAACAGCACTATGTAATCATTTTTCTTGCAGACAAATGTTGAACTCAGATCCCCTATATTGTTATACCTATTTTAAAATTGAGAAGCTGAGGTATAGGGTCACATAGGGCATACAGTGTGGAGCAGGAATTTGAACCTACCCCTCCAGCGTGCAAAAATTGTACAAAGCAAACTCCAGGAAACAGAGCCAAAATACATGGCTTGAAGGCAGTATGTATGTTCAGAGGTTATTATATATGCAGTTTTGTTTCTGGTCAGTTATCTGTGAGTTTGGAGAAGGCATATTTATTGAACGCATGTATGTACATATTTGAGTTCAATCAAAAACATTCATATGTAACTGCAATAAACTGAAGCTGTATCACCACATGATTCCATATTCATCATCTGTTTTGTAAGCTAAAGGGGAATGGTGCCATACAGTATAAGTGGATGGAAGTATTGTACACCATAATGTTGTTCTGGGACAAGATTAATTTCATCACAATCATATTAATCCATTACATGTCTCCCTTTCAGCACAAATGGACCCCCGAGGCCTATCTCCCGGACACATTAAAAGTGACAGTGATGATGATGACCTGCCAAATGTGACCTTAGATAGTGTTAATGAAACTGGATCTACGGCCCTCTCTATAGCCAGAGCTGTACAAGAGTAAGTATCACATTCTCCGAGTGAGGTAACTATTGCCAAGGTATTCAATAGCTAATGGAAACACCAGTCATCAGCTGTTCTGCCGATATGTCATCCTAGCTCTAAACTGGCATACAAGCAAGCATCTTTCTGTTCAACTTCATTCCCTTTAGGAGGACATTACTGTCTTTCTCTCTCTCTCTTTTATTTATTTTTTTTATCTTGACATACTCTTAGAACAAATATCAAAGCAGAATTATTCTTTCTCCTTTGTTTAATCGCAAGGTCTACTTTTAGTTTTGTTTTGCTTTAGGGGAAAAGCCTTGGTAAATTTTTCAGTCTGTCTAAAAAAAAAAGTCCTTGGTTCATGGTAGCAGCAAGAGGTCTCTTATAGTTGCTTTTTAGAGCAAATTCCCCACAGTTCCCCTGAGGAACAGCATAAACAAAAGTAAATTAGTAAGAGCTTCCAATTAGGTGTTTCTCCATTACTGTTATTTTTCTATTTATTATTAGGCAAATTATAACTCATTAGTTTAATTTTTATTTTGTTAATGTTTTAGGAAAATGTTTGCCTTTATTAATGTTACTAACACGCAAGCCTGTTCTATCACCATGGCAGCTAGAAAGTAACCAACTGTGAGACAAATAAGTATTATCATCTCCATTTGATAGGTGAGGAAAAGCAGGTTAAATGTAAAGGTCACACTGAAAGTCTGAGGCAGAGCTAGGAACAGAATAGAGTCCCTAGGTGTATACTCCTGTGTTTGGAGCTATAAAATAATCTATTCCTGCAGCAGAATAGATCAGAAGACAGGAGCTTTGAAATCCTGATGAAAATATTATGCATTATTGTCATATAATTTATTACTTGCATTTAAACCCCTAAAGCAATTAGTTTTGTTTTTTACTTGCTAGAAAAGCCACAAACAGTATTTGCTGAGATATGATAATGGTTAAATTTACTTGTTGTGAAATGTGGGCAGTTCCATCTGACCATTCCCAAAATATTTTTAAAGTTACATCTCTGGAATTCAAAAAAAGGAGACTATGAATGGGTAAGATAGATTCTCCAGTGCAAACATCAGGAAGACTCGATAATGTGTACGAAGATATGGCCAATCTAATAGGTTATCACATCTCAGGAGGGATCTGCCTCTCATATCCCAGGAGGGGTGTCTGTTTCACCAATTAGACTTTGAGTACCTCAAATTCCAGTCAAACAAAGTAATGATCAGCCACCACTTCTTATATCCCACTCAAGCAAAGAAGGGATTAGGTTGTAGAAAGAAGAGGATGTTCGCTTTAATTGGCCTATTTCAACATGCTGAGGAAGTTCTTCTCACAGGAAGGGTGGGGAAAGCTTTCTTATTGTTGACAGCTCTGCCTGATTGATGAATCTACTACGCATTCTGAATTTGCTAGTTACAATCTCCAGGATCCAAAATGTCAAGTATTGTAGAATACATAATAGGCCAGAGAAATAAAAACAAGCCTTCCTACCTCTGTTTTGTGCTTAATAGTGCGAGCTGATTAATGAAGAAGGAAGGGGTCGTTGCATGTACTTTAATTTATGATTGACAAGGAAATATTATTTTACTTATTTAATATTATTTCAGCCTTTTATAGAACTGTTCAAGGAATAAAAGGCTTTTTTTCTAAAAATGTATTCTATGATTGAGGGGGAAATGCATTGAACATCATCAACCATGTCTAGGTTTAAGAAAATTAAATTAAGAAATTTAACAATATAAAACCAACTCATTCTTGTTACAGTTTTTTTTTAAGCAGTAAGCTGGTAGTTGGTTTTTCAAGCCATATTAGGAACCTCTAATTTGATTGTCACTTGCAATTTGTCTTATTCCAACTCAGTTGTACCCACCTCATACATACCCAGCTGGGAAGGTAGAATAAAAGGGTCAGTATGTTGTATTAGTCTAAGTCAGCCCATTTCCATCCTTATATATTTAGTTGACTGCATTGGGCCTTGGGTCTTTTAGATCATTTAAATTCACAAATATGTACATAAGGGCATGGGGAGTCCTTCATTTGAAGCACTGCAAATCCTAAATCACTTCGAATTCAGTGGAGTTTGATGATGTGTAGACATGCAGCCCACCCTGGAGCACCTCAAAATGTCGGTGAAGGCATGCAGCAGGACTGCTCTCCAACCAGGGACCTGGCAATAAGTAATCCCTTCATGCTTCCCAGCATCTGGTTTCTGGAGTTTCCCAAGGGCAGCCAAGTGCACAGGACAGCACTCATTGGCTGTCTTCCCCACACCATTACCCTTGGAGGTAGGAGGGTGGGCAGAGCATCATGGGATGTCAGAGAACCACTGGAGAATGTAGACATGTCAGGAAGTGTTTCTTCAGTTGTGAACATCTGCACACTCACTGTTAGGAGCATTTCAGAGGCACTTGGAGCACTTTAAACAGAACAACTATCTTACTGGCTTATCCTCATGAGTAGTTATGAAATATACATCATATTTAAAGGGAGCCTTCCATGCTAGTCCATGACAGATGGGAGGATTGGGGTTGAGAGGAGAAACTTTACTCTAAAGGCATGGCAGCATTTTTCCCTTCTATGCAAGTCTCTGATAAAAGGAGATGCCAGACAGCTGTGGGCCTTTTCCTCTCAACTTTCAGACAATTTTTAAAATTAATCTTTGTAAGTTAACTACATAGGTATGTAGGTTAATAGCTTAATGATACTACACCTGCAATATTTTTTACTTTTATTGTGATAGTAAGTTTATGTGAAAAATGTTGTTTAATGTGTATTTGAAATACTTCCCTTTTGAATGAACTAATCATAGAATCATAGTACAGGTAGGGACAGCTAGGTTTGGAAGGGATTTCAGGAGGTCATCTAGATCAAGGCAGAAACATCCTTGACTCTAGACCATTCCAAGTTAAGTGTTTGTGAAAACTACACTGCTCACCACATTTTACAGATTGCAATGTAAAAGTTCAAAGATCCAACCTCAGTTTCCCTTGCTTCAATTTAAGACCATTGCTTCCTGCCCTTGTCCCTTCTGGTGACAGAAATAGCCTATCTCCATTCTTCATATAACCACTCCTCGGGTATTTGAAGACTGTTACCAAATCCCCCCTCAGTCTTCTCTTCTGCAAACTAGATAATTCTAATTCTTTCAGGTTGTTGTCTTAAGTCAGCCTGTAATTATAAATCAAGCCAAACCTCATAAGTTGAACTAATACAGATGTAAAAGAGAGGTAGCTAGTGTGTTAGTCCGAAGACAAATAGACAGCAAGGCGTGTAACGGTTATATTAAAAGCAGCTCCATTATTTTATACAAACTCAACAGAGGAAAAATGAGCAGTTCACCTGGAATAACTAAATGCATCGGGCAGACTTAGCTATGGAAAGTTTTTTAAAAAATCTTTGAAAGGAAATCCATCTTTTAAAGAAACAGCAGCTGTAGAAAAGAGCTTTGCTTTGGTGTTAGATCATTTTGATGATCTCCTAACCAAATTAGGTTTGTTGTCTTTGAAAATTGCCCTCAAACGATTAGATCACATAATTGTTTGGAAGACCTGTATGAGAGTTTTGTTCTTCATTATTCCTCTAATAATATACTGGAGGTCCTCTGCCTGTATTGCTGTTCTGTGTCATGTCCTTAATATTTTAAAGATAGAAAATTACTCCCCAAATCCTGAAATCGGTATAAATACTAAAAGCAACTTGCTTGCTATTAGTTCTTGCTCAATTAAATAGCTTACCAAATGCTTTTATAATATTTGTAAAACAATCTAGACACCTCTGTTTTGTCTGAAAAGTAGATTTTAACTACTATTTAACTACTATATAACAACTATTTTAAGTTTTGTCTAGTTTCAGTATTTTCAGCACTCCCTTTTGAACAGGTTTTCATAACCATTCGTTGACCCAACTGAACTGATTGAGTTACATGTACCTGCTCTGTCCACCTTTGATCTAGCTGTAGCTTCTGACAGTGCTTAGGCCTATTTGCTTTAAGTGCTTAGGTTTTTTGGTTTTTTAGTTTGTAAACAACATGTATTATCCTTATTTGTAAAATACCGGGAAAATTCACACTGATGTATAACTCAGGAATTATAACACTGAAGCCCCCTTATCTTTGAGGCTTAGTACAGCTCTGTATAGAACAGCAACAAGTTTTAACTCCCTAGACATTCTCTAGAGAAGCGGGGACCAACCTTTTTTGGTACTGTGCTGGCCACAGCAACCTTACCTGGGGTCCTGGGGATCTCCCGGGGCTGCAGCCACAGGGATCCTCCCAGGCAGAGCCTGGCCAGCAGCCACAGCACAACTCCAGCAGCCTGGCTCCGCTTTTCAGCAGTGCATGCTGCCTAACCATGAGCTGCTTTGTTTTTTTTTTTCCTATGGGTTTTTACCCCGGATATCCAAGGGTCAAAAAAACCCAGCAGTGCACACTCGGGCAGCGCACCCTTGCAGCACAGAGAACTTCCAGATTGTGTGGTATGTGGCTCTGCAGACATGTTTGTGGCACCACATACTGCACAACTGTACTCATCTGGATGCATCCACAGTGTGCTGCCTATGGCTTTACCTGGTCTGGCCCATGTTTCATGGTGGTGCAGCCTACTCTGATGCAGCCCAGTGACATTTGGCATCTGACCACTTTGAAGTTAGACAGCCATGCTCTAGAGATGTCCATGAAGACAGGGAAAGAATCTTCCATCAGGCTACAGAAGAGCAGAGTAGAACCACACAGGGCCCAGCACATATTCCCATGCTTCCTTCGAGGCTGCATGTCATCTCCCTCTACCCAGGGAGAAGGGTGTGAATGGACACTCAATGAATTGGTCACTTTCTGCCCCCAGTGGTTGCTCTCATGTGCTTAATGAACTTTAGGTGAGAAATCCCGTTGAGAAAAGACTGTTTAAAATAATTTGGGGGAGGATAAAGGGATGGCTAAGTAAATTAATGTTAGAATAAAGCATCTTTTTACTTTTGCCTCCTGGCCCATGAGGTTACTGTATGATGGCACTAGTGTG